TTTCCCACAACTTCAGCAGCAGAGTGAGTGGCATGCTCAGAGCTGCTGTGTCCTGAGGATGGAGGCCATCCTTCCAGCAGCTGCTTCTCAATTTTCTGCTTTATAGTTAACTATCTTTTATACAGCAACAACTTTAATACAAAGAATAAAGTGATCATTTTCTCATACAACCACAATGACATACGACTGTACGTTACACAAAATAAGATTGATGAAGTATCTTAAACTCTGACTGATGTTGCTCGCAGAGTGGAGACAGGATCAGCAGAGCCCCCGTTCCTCAGGCCTACAAGCCTTCTATAGTGAAATCCCCTTTGACCAGAGTACCAAATGAAAATATTCCAGTCCATCCCTTGTCTTCTATGGAGCCTGACCCTGTTCAAGTGAAGCCTGGGGAAAGAAGGCTTCTTGACTGCTTGTACCTGACTCGTCTCTTGAGGAACTGAGGGTGCTAGGCATGCCAATTTAGATGGGAGGACTTGAATCAGGCTACAGCACTGTGGACGGGTCAGGGGAACGGTGCCAGGCTTTGGCATCAACACTGGCTTCCTAAGGCCACCCTAAGTCCCACCCACAGCTGCAACACTGGGCCAAGAAAAGGTCTGTTCGATTCTGGCCTCTGGAGGCATCTGCTCACTGCCACTTCCCAGCCTCTGCATGAGAACAGGCGATGAACAGGGACTAGGGAGAAAAAGAGCTACTTCCTCAGTGTGGAATATCTGGGAAAACACCTTACAATTCCCAACAAGAACAGAAATGAACCCAAACAAGCCTTGAGAAACACCCACACATCTACCTTTCCATACTCAAGCAATGTGCGCATACGGCACACGGTACAGGGCTATGTACAGGTCACGGGATCATAAATAAGGAGAGAGTCCACTTGGTCTAGAGTTCTGATGCTTCTGCAGTGTGGCTCTTGCATGTCAACTTCTTGTGGGATACATACAGAAGATACTCACTTTTTAAAAAACAACACATTACTCTCTTGCTTTTCAAAGGACAAGATAGGATGTCTTTGCACAGGAGAAGGACTCAGCGTGGCAAGGGGGTGGCCAGGGCGTGCAGGGCTGGGGAGGCAGCAGAGTAACCGAGGCATTGCGCTGGGGAGCTGCAGAGCACTGTGGGAAGGGAGTCAGGGTTTTGTGGGGGCGGCTTATGTTTTTAACTGCTTATTTCTTCATCTGTTTTATTCAGCTTCTTCAGCGTGTCCAGCAGTTTCTGTGGGGTGAGAATGTGCGTGGATCCTGGGAAGGCAGAGAAGACAATGAGCTCACTCACCTACTTCAGCCTGAGGCTTCTTTCCCTGATTCTCCATCCCCCAACCCTCGTCTGGGTCCAGTGGAAGCCGGGAGGGGGTGGGGATGGAACCCTTGGGCCCTGACAGAATAGACTTAGGCATTTAGGCTCAGTTGGGTCCCAGGCTGAACCTAGGAACCACCTCTCAATTAGCGCCCAGTGCCATCTGCCAGTTGATGGCAGCTGTGCTTTCTTATTATCTCTTGAAGTCAAGGTAAAGCCAGGAAGAGACACTTCAAATATGACAAGGACAGTGGCTAAGGGGAGAGGCTGGCAGGCATCTCTGGAAGGAAAGAATGGTGCCTGCTGGGCATGGGAGCCACTGAA